AAATTTTTGAAATTCGCCCCACCCATTCCGCAACCTTTATGGCGTCCATTAGATGGATCCTACCATTCTTTCAGGGAGTGTAAAGGAAGCTTGATTCAGAGGATGATAAAAGGGGAAGGAAAATCTAGGAGTTGATTGAGAATTAATTGGAGGACTTTAAGAAGCTTGAAGTTGAGAAGCAGACGTCTGAGAGTAGGGAGAGCAAAACTACACTAGGCAGGACTAACCCAAGTTCTGAGGAAGGTTGTAGTAGCTTTAACAAGAGAGAGAGGATGTATCTGGAGAATGATTTGGTGGCTGCATTTGTGGAAAAATTGGGGTGTAGAATTCAGAATCCAAATGATTTAAAGGATTTTTTTTAAAGGAAAATTTGGGAGACAAAGTGAGAAAGAGAAAGATGAGTGAAGTGGAAAAATTGAGGAGAGATGTGGAGGGGGATAAGGAATTCAGTGGGAGAAAGGGAAGTCCTAGGGGAAACAAGTAGGATTCTTAGTAAAATGAGGCTGAATTGACTTTGGTAAGAATGAAGATTGTGAGCTGGAACTAGAACTAGAACTGTTACAATCAGTTTGGTTGGTCTGGGTCTGTCAGGTAGACCCAATCATTGACAGCCCTATAGAAACCCCATTTGTTAGATCCAAAAACCAGCTTGCAAATCCATTTACCAAGGTGTTGCACCAGCCCCGGATTGACTTTAATAATTAACAAGTTGAGTCTATATAACATATATAGACTCCAACTTGAGGGAGAGTGTTAGAGAGTACTTGCTAGATTATATTACTCTTTTGTTTAGTTGTTGTAGCTGCTGTTTTATTTTATCTAGACTGGGGTACAAAACTTTTTATCTTTGTAACTTAAATAGGGTAGTTTAGTAAGTTCAGCTTATTTCTTAAACAAGGGCAGAAGTGTAATCTTGTTCTTAATGAGCCTTGGATTATAAATAGTAACCTGGCTGACTGAGAGAGTAGATTTTCTCCCCAGTCAACAAGTTTCTTCCTCTCTAAACTTGCCGCCTCCCTTCTCTCTTCTCCTTCTCTATTGTTTCTGAGTGCCAAGTACAGAACTTGCTCACAAGCTCAAAAAAAGATCAAGGGAAAAATCTTTGGTCTATGGATAAGATGATATTTTTATGCTTTTACTCATGCATGCTAAAAGAAAATTGGAACACTTGAATTTGCTTTTTAAGATGATTAAGAACTGGAACAAAGAGATTAAAAATCATTTTAGTCTGTGAAGTTTCTATAGCCACAGTATATGGTTAAAGAGTAGCTATAAACTTAGGCCACCTACAGGCAGTTAACATACATAAAATCAAAATAAATGGAACATTACAGGATCAGAAGACAGACCTTTACCAACAATAAGGCCAAACTGGTTCCAGGTGAGAGCATGGAAAGGCTCCAACTTTGTGAAGTTCAATACAAGAGCAACAGGTAGGAAAATAATGAGATTGAACAACCCAACAAATCCAAGGAACTCAGCCATACTCACATGATCACCATTATCATCATCATCAGGCATCATTTTACGAATAAGAGTGATATAAATCGCATAGAATCCTGCTGAAACAAGAGCAAGGGTGTCCCCAAGAAGTGGATTTGTAGCAACTGCACTTAACCCCATCTTTGAGTCACCCAAGCTGACTATTATTGTTCCCCCCATGCACAGAAGAACACTGATTAATTTCACCCATGTGAATTTCTCACCCAAGAATAACAGAGAAACTACAAAGGTGAAAAGACTGGAGGAACTGCTTAAGATGGTGTTTGACTGCAAGAAACAGAAGAGATTCTTACTACACCAAAATCCAAATGAGATTGAATGCAATCAAAACTAAAAGTAGTGCACAATAAATGGAAGGAAAGCATGAGATTCAAAAATTATTACCGTCACAGTAGTAAATTTGAGTGAGAGATTGAAACAGAGTTGCGCGAGGAACCAAAAAGGACAAATCAACAGGCTCACCTTTGCAACTCTTGTGCGTGTCCAACGTCCTCTCACATCTAATTGTTTATTAGCATCTTGAGCAACCTTAACTGTTCCTGATGAATCTGGCCCACTAGCTTGAAAAGGCATCCTTTCAGACTCGTACAGTTCCAGTCCTGGTTCAGACATAGTACTCTTCTCCAGCAGAGTAGTTTCTCTTAGTTCCATGGGCTCAGATGGGTTCAAATAATCCTGTTTCGTACTTAAATCATTCCCTCCAAGAAGAACAACTTCTTCAGAATCCTCCAGTCTTTGAAGATGCTTATTACTCTTATTACCATGCCACAACCATGAATTCTCCAAGAAGCGTGAAATCTCAACAATAGGGATGTATATCACAAACAAGGAATTGCAAATGTAAGTGATGAGAAATGGGGAAACACCAGAATCTACAACAGATTGAACAACAAAACTGGCAGCAATCCAGATTGTGGCAACAGCAAATATATATATCAGACCCAATATCCATCTCCGAACTGAACTCATATCTTTGGAGTTTAATGTTTGATAAAATTCGCCACCAATTTTCAATGAAACCCAGCAATATATAATATATTCTCCAATTCCCAAATGCCCATATAGACAAATCACTTCCAACACCCTACTTGCAGGTTATAACCAAAGACCATAGGTCACCTAGAACAATCAAACCATCAAAGAAAATCTTAGATTTCAGTAACTAAGCTAGGATTGCACCCACAACCATCAACTTGTGCAGAATGATCCATGGCCAAAGTGGGCTAGCGGGTAGACCACAGGATTACTAGAATCTACCAGAGTAAATTATAACATGCCTCCAACACATAATAATCAATAAGATATAAGACCCACAGATTCTCTGGTCAAATGCATGAATTATAACATCAAAAAGAAGATGGTAAATCAAAAACCAATCCTCCTAAACATGTTACTTAAATAGAGAGAGGATGAAATAGTAATAGAGAATTGACTTGGACAATCTAAAGAGTAGTTGAAATCTACAAAAGAGTTGGTTAATTTTTTTCATATCTTTTCAGATTTATCAGAATGAATACAAATTTGTGATTCTAAACTATAAAAGCTAACGAAATAACAAATGAAATAGAAGTGTTCAGAATGAGTTAAAATCTTCTATAGTTGATTTGAAAGACAATTTAATCCTAAGATGACAACATGACAGAAGTGTTCAGAATGAGAAAATGTTTAGGAAGGGAGTAAAAGAATTCAAATCTTTTAGAAGAAAAAACTATATTCGATAAATACTTTCATAATAAGAAAAGTAAAACATAAAAAAGGCAAACCTTTTAAAGCTCAATATCCCCAAACTCAACAAGGTATTATAGGCTTTGTTCTTGGGGCCAATTGGGAAGGGGACTCACTAAAAGCAGAAATCTTGGTAGTGATACAACGAGTACAGAAAGCAAAATACATGAACACTAAGAAGCTTGTGATTAAGGGTAACTCCAAAGTGGTGGTGGGTTGGCTGCAGAACATGGAGGAGGCTTTTCGGTCTATAGGAATGAACTTAAGAAGTTTAAATGGATAGTCACATGAAGTTCAATGGATTCCAAGACCAGCCAGTGCTATGGCAGATGTTTTGGGAAAAAAACAGGGGGTGGATAGAGATCATTTATTTTCGGCTGAATTGTAATGATATGGTTATTGAGAAGAGATAAACCATCTATCCGTTGCTGTATACTTCATTGTATATGTCTTAAGCTTGAACAAATTCAAGCTATTTATTAAAAAAAAATCAACTAAGAAAAAATAAAGTTTAACAAAAACTAGCAAACAGGATAAGCATTAAAATGAAAAGGGTAAAAAATTTTACCAATCAAACGCGGTGATGACCAGCCCAGAGCAGAAAAACTTCATGACTGAGAATTTTGATAGCAATCTGTAATCAGAGCCCACTCCAGCAACCATAAACCACAAGTACCCAGCCCAGGTCGGTTACAGGTTCCTTAAATCAGCTGTGTAACAACTAAATCAGAAGAAGCTCCATGACAGTGGCTGATGTCAAAAACTGTCAGAGCATGTGCCTGCAACCGCACCAAACAAAAGATTCCCTTGAGCCTTGAGGTGATGGAGAAAAAGCAATACTCATCAAGGACCTAGGACCCATAAAAATTGATTTCTACCACGAGAAGGGCAAAATTCCAGAGTAGTAGTTCTTGATTGTTATTATTGCCGATTGCCGACGATGGCGACTTTTATCGCTGAAAGCTCCAACAGGCTAACACTGATTCTTCCTTTGGCATGTCGTTTGGAAAGCTAGAGCGTTTCACACGAGTTCACATCCTCTGCATCGGGTTGCAGAAAAATCTCTGCAACCACCAATGCAAATTTAACACGTTATCGGTTAGTAATCGAGGTGTGGACGGCTGAAACTAACTGCCGTTCTTTTATTTTAGGAAGAAATACGGACAGTCCAACGCAGAATTCTAATCTCCGCCCTTCTCCTAATCTTTTTTTTAATTATTTTTACTATGTTTTGAAAAACCCTTCTCCACCCTTATTTTTACTATCTGTTGCCCCTTTCCTTCTCTCGCACTTCCTCCTCCTTAAAGAATTCACATGATATGCTCAGCACTCCTTTCTCTTGTTTCCTATTCAACATAGACCATCGGCGACGGCTATTCCTTCTCTCTCTCCTTATCTTTCTTGTTTCCTCTTCTTCCCTCTTCCTCCAGGTCGTCGTTGGACAAAGCATGAACAACATGTTAAAATGTTAACCTCTAATAATTTTGAACCCTAAAACCCTAACTACTATATATTGTTTATGGTGTAGTTATTTGTTGCAATAATTAAGGGATCGAGATTTTTGCTTTTTTTCTAATAGTTTTTGCTTCTCCATATTGAACCATTATACCTAAGCAATATCTATTGTTTTGCTTCACTATATGCATACCTGATTTTAGTTGTTCAGTGTTCATCTCAATCGTCTTCCCACTAATGTGTTACAACATCAAACCCTTATTCTTTCTCATCCCACTCTGTTATAGATACCAATAATATTTCTCTGTGATTTTTAAAAGAATTCCAATAAAAAAAGTTGGTTGAATGTTGGGATTTTGAAGGGTTGCTTTATGTTGGGGTTTGGGTTGAATGATGGTTGAATGCACCGCACCCATCATTGAATTTTGGTCTAGTCTAATACTAGTCTGATCATATTTCCTATTTAACCAGATTGTTTATGATATTGATACACATTCAGGGTAGTATTACTATTACTTGTCAAATGAAATACCTAATCTACAAAATTCCTTAATTATTCACCATTTCAGAAATGACCAAAATCTATTTACTTCTCAGCTTACCAACTTCCTAGATGACTATGTGTTGACTTGTTGCAAAGATATTTAAACTTGGCCAACCACCTAAATATTTCTTATTCTTTCTTTAGTTCCATACTTATAACATGTTATATTACTCCTCTAATCTCAATTTTAAATTCATTTTTGTTCAATTCTTTATAGAGGTAGTTGAATTCAACGAAAACAATAATCTTTAATTTGTTTTTTACTTAAGTTTTCCTTATCTTTTAATTTGTACCTGATTTTGGTGTACAGAATACAAAACAATGTATTAATATCTATGGAGAGGGATCTCAATATATATTGAAGCATCATGTTTGGTCTATGCATCCATGGGATTCTGGTCAATACACGTGGGAATGAAAGATTATTGAATATCTTCTTTGGGTTGTGTTTGGTCAATACACAACCTTGATGATTGTGGCAAGACGTTGAAGAACCTGTAATATACAAACCAATTCTAAAAGAAGAGCAGATTTTGAATTTTTTGGTACTTTGACCTATAAATATGAAAACATGATTACAATAGTATATATAGGAACTTCAAAATGTGTGTATATCCGGATATAGCATCTAAATTCCAAGCTGAAGCTCTAAAACCCACTTTTCTTTAACAAATGTTTATTCTTGTTGACTAGATTAGTTAGTTTTGTTGTTGTTGAATCATGTTTGTGTATGTGGGTTTGTGACTATATGGATCATTAATCATTATAAGTGAAAGATGAAAAGCATTCGAAAATAAGAGCATTTCGGTAATGCTTCTAAACAAATCGCTAACTGCTATCATCGAGTGTTGTCAATTACGTAATTAATTACTTATTTTATTAATCCACGTAATTATTTTTCTTAAGTAATAGTTTGTAATTGCTTGTTAATGTAAAAATAGCCATTTCTCAAAGGTTGCAGCATTCAGGTACTCGAACAATAACTTTACATTCAGAGATCCAAAAAAACAGAAAATCAAATTTCATGAATAAAGGAACAAAGTAGAGCTACAATTTGGGCTAGCTAGGGTTGAACATTTGTTAATGGGTGGAACTTAACAAAGGAAGGTAAAATAAGGGAATCGCTCATTTTTCTCATATCCATAGGTTATCACTTTTCAGGTTTTCAGCCTTGAGATTGGCATCTAATTCAAATGCCCCCTTCACTAGTAAATTGTTGCCCATCATGATCATCCGATTGCAACCCTTCATCATCTAATGAGGCCAATTAAATTAATTGGTGGAACTGAATACTCAGTAATCAAATAGAGTCCCACCCAGTATGTATAGACTTCACCAAAGTCGTTATCCAAATGCAGCCAGAAAAAAAAAAAAAGAAGTACAATACATTTTAACATGTTGTTCATGCTTTGTCTGATGCCTAGTGGTTGCAGCAACGGTGACCCGGATAGAGTGTTGGGTTGTTGATTTGAAAGGAGAGGGAAGAAGAGGAAACAAGAAAACTAGGGGGAGAGAGAGAGAGAGAAGGAATAACCGTCGTCGGCGGTCGATGTTCGGTAGCACAACCGTCACCGGTGGTAGGTGTGGAACAAGGAGGGCGAGAGAATGGAGTGCTGAGCAGACAATGTGAACTCTTGAGCAGGAGGGAGGGCAAGAGAGAGAAAGAGGAGGCAAGAGAAAGAAAGGAATACTGAACTACTGGTGGGTTTTTCAAAACATAGTAAAAATAATAAAATAAAAAACGGCCATTAGTTTCAACCTTCCACACCTCTATTTAAGAACCAATGACGTGTTAAATTTGCATTGGTGGTTGCATCTGCAACCTACAACCACGATGCAGAGGATGTGACCATGTTTCTCAAGTCTCCTTTGGTACGGTAGCAAACAATAAATTAGATCATCTCTCTAGTTCCAAATACTCATTTTCTCATTAGCCAGGATATCCATACTATTAGATGATAAGAAGTAGTTCACATCATCCCACTGCTCCCTATAACACATCCCTACCGTGTATTGAGAACATCTCCCATGAATGCACACTTATATGATCATACATGTGCCCTGTGGGGCGCTGATATAATCTTGTTTTTCCTATTACAAGAATCCTACTCACACATCACTATACCATATTCACAATCACTTTTGCATTTATTAATCAGATGTTTTTCGGATATCATATTTTTTCTATATCATATTCGAATCCTTCATCAAATAATTCAGTTGGACATCTTTTTCAGATTTTTTTTTACTCGAACCCCTCCCAAACAGGCACTAGATATATTGCTTCTGAAGCGGAGTCACCTACCAGCCCTTATCAAACATATTGTGATTTAGCGTATGATTGGCACCAATGTCGTTGCTCCAGAAAATGGTGACACATCAGTGCCACGTTGGTAAAAATGGTGCTCCAGGAAACACCTATTTGTTTGAAACCATTTTTCCATAAAAAATGGTGCTCCAATCCATGCCTTGGAAATTGAGAAGGCATGGTTTGGAGTAATGCTGAATTTGGCGTTTTCTCATATTGCAGCTTGCTGCTGCCAACGAGGACATGATGTGGCAGTGACATGGACTTCCTATAATGGGTACCAACGCTGAAAACAGACATGGAGCACTGGTACCAAATAGAAAGTGTTGTTGTTGCTCCAGGAAACGTCGTACCTAGCAGCAACATTTCCAAACAAAAAAAAAAGACACTGTTTTCTGAGAAAACAGTGCTTCCAACCCACACATCAGCAACACCGTGTATCTGCATCATTGATGCCAAACATATACTTAGTTTTCTATCATTCTTAATTATGCTTTACATAGGAATGCTAAAAGTTGTGTTTGGTAAAATTTTGAAAAGTCAATACGAGTTTTAGGACACCAAAACCATTGCTAATTTTTCCAAAATACTGGTGTTTAGACCTATTCATAGGCTGGGCTTTGGGCCAGGCCCATTAGAATTTTGACAAAAGTCAAGCCCGAGCCCGGCCCATGAACAAGTCTACTGGTGTTCAACCAATGTAATATAAAGTGTTGTTGCCTAGGATGGGTTGGGGGCAACAAGGTAATTTCTCTTCCGAGCAAAGGGCTGGTAGGTCAGACCTACGAAGAGAAAGAAGACATCAGAGGCCCCGGGTGCTAACCCGAGACGGGTACTCCGGCAGTCAAGTTAGTACGGGGGTAGTAGGAGGTGGATGAGACCTGAGTAATGAGTGCTCAGACAAGGTCACACAAGAAGTTGTAGATATCTAAGTAGTCCAAAGTCTAGATGTTTACCTTGAGAGGGTTTCCCCTTATTTATACTTGAGGTCGCCTAGAGGTAGGTGGACTTGGATGGTTAGGATGCAGTTTGGCCTTGAGGAGCACAACCATCCAAGGCCTTCACGTGTGGCCGCGCCATTGGCTCTGCGTTGCGCGCCGACCTCTGTTTTACGCATGCCCTTGATGAATCGATTTTTTGGGTGATGTATCAATTTTTTGTGCTAAGTACCTCGTCATTTGGTCTGCTTCCAAGTGGCTGATGACTCGGAGGCCGAAGTGAACTTTTGTTGGATGAGGACCTGGATGCCGAGTTGGGTGGTGGCGAGCTGGATTGATTGTTGAGCTTTGTAGTTCTTTAGAGACATGCAAGGAATCAATGTCAGAGGACCCGAGGTGGCTAACCCGGCGAGGTCGCTTCGATGCTTAAATCAGTACTCTCATAGTAGACTGCGAGCTAAAAATCACAAAGTATGAGAGCTAGAATATGCTTACTTGCCCCCCCCCCCTATGAGATTTCTGAGAAGTCACCTAAGAGGCCCGAGATTCCCTGAGGTAACCGCCATGCACGTTAGCCACCTTCCGGATCGTTCGGCACATGGGCCAACTTCCATGGATCATGGGAGTGTTTGGATATGCATGCCGAATTTTTCACCGAGCACGTCTCGCAGGTCGCTAGGTCGCGCCAGGGCCAGGCCGCCAGGTCGCACTAGTGCCAGGCTGCCGGGTTGCGTCTGTGCCAGGCTACCAGTTCACACCAGGGCCAGGCCGCTAGGTGGGACACCATCAACTTGGCTAAGGCAAGTTGTTGCCTAAGTGGTTCCAGGTGTCACCTAATTGTTCCGAGGTGCCATGTGTCACAATATCATTGGAGGGCCAAATCCGCCCTCATTGGTCCGCCCTGAGCACAGCCATCCGCCGCGTGTATGTGTGCTATTGGTCTTGGCCATGTGCGCCTACA